AAAACTATCAGAATACAAACTCTTATCAAGTACACATGGAACATCCTTCAGGATAGACATATGTTATATCACAAAACAAGTCTTAATAATATTAAGAAGATTGAAATTGCATCAAATATCTTTTCTGATTATATTTATAATCAGATATATATATCAGAAATGATATATATATAATCAGAAATGAAAGAGGAGGCATACAACTGATATCAGAGAAATATAAAGGCTCATAAGAGACTACTATGAACAATTATACACCAATAAATTAGACAACATAGAAGAGATGGATAAATTCCTACAAATATGCAACCTACCAAGACTGAATCATGAAGAAATAGAAAATCTGAAAGACCAATTACTAGCAAGGAGATTAAATCAGTAATCAAAAACCTCCCAACAAACAAAAGTCCAAGACCAGATGGCTTCAGTGGTGAATTCTACCAACATTTAAAAAGGATTAATGCCAATCCTTTTCTAACTCTTCAAAAATATAGAAGAGGAGGGAACACTTCCAAAGTCATTTTATGAGGCCAGTGTTACTCTGATACCCAAACCAGAGAAAGACCCCAGAAGAAAAGACAATTACAGGCCAATACCTGAAAAACATAGGTGTAAAAATCTTCAACAAAATATTAGCAAACTGAATTCAACAATACATTAAAAGGATAATACACTTTGATCAAACAGGATTCATTCCAGGGATGCAAGGATGCTTCAATATCCACAAATCAATGTGATACACCACATTAACAAAATGAAGTATAAAAAGCATATGATCATCATCTCAATAGATGCACAAAATGCATTTGATAAAATTAAACAATTTTTATGATGAAACTTTTAACAAAGTGGGTGTAGAGGGAACATACCTCAATGTATAAAGCCTATATATGACCAGCTCACACCAACTTTTTACTCAATAGTGAAGAGCTTTTCCTCTAAGATCAGGAAAAAGATAAGAATGCTCACTCTCACGACTTTTACTGAGCATAGCATTAGAAGTCTTAGCTAGAGTAATTAGGCAAGAAAAAGAAATAAAAGACATCCACTCAGAAAGGAAGAAGTAAAACTTTCACTATTTTCAGATGATGTGATATTATACACAGAAAACCCTAAAAACGCCACCAAAACTTGTTGAATTAATAAATGAATTTGGTGAAGTTGCAGGATACAAATCAATGTACAAAAATCTGGTGTGTTTCTATACACTAATAATAAACTATCAGAAAGAGAAATTAAGAAAATAATCCCATTTACAATAGCATCAAAAAGGATAAAATATCTAGGAATAAATCTATCCAAGGAGGTGAAAAATCTGTACCCTGAAAACTATAAGACAATGATGAAATAAATCAAAGACACAAATAAATGAGAGATAGTCCATGTCCATGGATTGCAAGGGTTAATATTGTTAAAATGTCCATACCACCCAAACAAACTAGATTCAATACAATTCCAATCAAAATTCCAATGGCATTTTTCACAGAAATAGAACAAACAATCCTAAAATTTGTTTGGAGCCACAAAAGAATCCAAATAGTCAAAGAAATCTTGAAAATGAACAAAGCTGGAGGCATCATACTTCTAGGTTTTAAACTATATTACAAAGTTACAGTAATCAAAACAGTATGGTACTGGCATAATAACAGACACATAGTTCAATAGAACAGACAGCCTAGAAATAAACTCATGCATATAAGGTCAGATAGTTTATGACAAAGAAGCCAAGAATAGCAGTGGGTAGAGGACAGTCTCTTGAATAAATGGTGTTGAGAAAACTGGAGAGCCACATGCAAAAGAATGAATCTGGACCACTATGTACACCATATACCAAAACTAACACAGAATGGATTAAAGACTTGAATGTAAGACCTGAAACAATAGAACTCCTAGAAGAAAACATAGGGGATAAGCTCTTTGACATTGGTCTTGGCAATTATTTTTTAGATTTGACACCAAAAGCAAAGGCAACACAGGCAAAACTAAACAAGTGGGACTGCATTAAACTAAAAGCTTCTGCATAGCAAAGGAAACCATCAACAAACTGAAAAGGCAACCTACTGAATAGGAGAAAATATTTGCAAATCATATATCTGATAAAGGGTAAATATCCAAAATATACTTTAAAAACTCATACAATTCAATAACAACAACAACAACAAAAAGCCCAATCTGAATAAAACATGGGCAGAGGATCTGAATAGACAGTTTTCTAAAAAGGAAATATAGATGGGCAACAAGCATATGAAAAGATGCTCAACTTCACTTATCATCAGAGAAATGCAAATCGAAATCACAATAAGATATTACTTCACACTTGTTAAAATGGCTGTCATCAAAAAGAAAAAAATAACAAGTGTTGGTGAGGATGTAGAGAAAGGGAACATTTCTGCATTGTTAGTGGGAATGTAGATTGGTGCAGTCACTGTTTGAACAGTATGATTTCTCAAGAAATTAATAGAACTACCATATGATCCAGCAATTCCACTTCTGGGTATTTATCTGAAAGAAAGTAAAACACTAACTCGAAAAGCCATATGTACCCCATGTTCATTGCAGCATTATTTATAATAGCCAAGATATGGAAGCAATCTAACTGTCCATTGCTCGATGAGTGCATAAGGAAAATGTGACATATATATAAACTATTCAGTCAAAAAAGAAGGAAATATTGCCATTTGTGATGACATGGATGGACTTTGAAGGCACTATGCTAAGTGAAATAAATCAAAGAAAAATACCATATGAGCTATATTTGGAATCTGAATATACCAAAATCTTAGATAAAGAGAATAGATTGGTGGTTGCTAGAGGCAAGGCATGGGGGTGGGAGAAATGGGCAAAGGGGTCCAAAAGGTACAAATTTTCAGTAATAAAATAATTAAATTATAGGGATGTAATGTACAGCCTGGTGACTCTAGTTATTAATACTGCATTGTATATTTGAAACTTGTTAAGAGAGTAGATCTTAAAAGTTTATCTCACTGGAACTGGAGGGTGTTAGGCTGAGTGAAATAAGTCAATCAGAGAAAGACATGTATCATATGACCTCACTGATATGAGGAATTCTGAATCTCAGGAACAAACTGAGTGTTACTGGAGTGGTTGGGGGTGGGAGGGATGGGGTGGCTGGGTGATAGACATTGGGGAGGGTATGTGCTACGGTGAGCGCTGTGAATTGTGCAAGACTGTTGAATCACAGATCTGTACTTCTGAAACAAATAACACAACATATTTTAAGAAAAAAGAAAAAGAAGAAGATAGCAGGAGAGGAAGAATGAAGGGGAGTAAGTCAGAGGGGGAGACGAACCAGGAGAGATGATGGACTCTGAAAAACAAACTGAGGTTTCTGGAGGGGAGGAGGGTAGGGGGATGGGTTAGCCTGGTGATGGGTATTGAGGAGGGCACATTCTGCATGGAGCACTGGGTGTTATGAACAAACAATGAATCATGGAACACTACACCAAAACAAATTATGTAATATATGGTGATTAACATAATAAAAAAAATTAAAAAAAAAGTTTATCTCACAAGGAAAAAATTTATAACTATGTGTGGTGATGGATTTAACTAGAATTGTGTTTGTAATTATTTCACAGTACATACAAATATCAAATCGTGTTGCACACTTAAAACTAAGAATGTTATATGTCAATTACATCTCAATCAATCAATATTTTCATTATAATTGTTTTACACATTAAAGTCTGTTTCATACTGATGATGGGATCTTCTTTAGGGGTCTTTTGATTTGAAAATTCATTTTGGACTTATGCCTAGAATTAATATCAAGACCATTGGCCTATTATTTGTACCATTACATTTTTTATTCACGTATTATCCAGTTTAAATGTGGTATACCTTTACAACCAACTGCAATATGAAAAGAAAAGGAATATGATAATGGAGACAGACAGAAAAGGGCAGAGGAAACACTCCCCAGAAATAAAATACAGTACCTTGTTGAACTGAGTGGCATTTTGCTACATGGGATGGCTTTAGAAAATTCTACGGTGTCTTCTCCTCCCTCCAAAACGTGGAGCCTAATTCTCCTCCCCTTGAGTAGGCTGGACTTAAAGACTGACTTCTAAAGACTAGATATGGCTAAAGAGACAATGCGTGACTAGTTTGTAAGTGGGTTCCCTCTCTCTTTCTCAGATCACAAGCTCTGGAGAAAGTTAGCTGCTATATAAGTAGCCTATGGAGATGCCCATGCAGTAAGGTACTGAGGCTTCCTGCCAAAAACCTGATGAGTGAGCCATCTTAGAGGCAGATCCTCCAGCCCAGCCGAGCCATCAGGTGACTGTAGCCTAGGTCAACAGCCTGACTACAACACAGGAAGTGTCTGGCTCAGAACTAGCTAGCTAAGCCACTCCCAAATTCCCGACCCATAGAAACTCTGAGGTGATAAACGTTTGTTGTTTGAAGCCAATATATTTTGAGGGAAATTTGTTACACCTAAATAAATAACTAATACATTAGGTGTTAGATGACACTAGTCTTACCAAATGTTTTAGTTCAGATATTAGAATTAAATTAGAGAAATATATGTTCATACACATGCATATTTTACATTAAATAGCAAAAATTAAAGAATTTTCAGTATTCAAAACCATGTTTTTGATCCTGCTTAGAATTGTCTACTTTGGGGCGCCTGGTGGCTCAGTTGTTCAGCATCTGCCTTCGGCTCAGGTCATGGTCCCAGGGTACTGGGATCGAGCCCCGCATTGGGCTCCCTGCTCTGCTGGAGGCCTGCTGCTCCCTCTCCCACTCCCCCTGCTTGTGTTTCCCCTCTCGCTCTCTCTCTCTGTCATAAATAAATAAAATCTTAAAAAAAAAAAGAATTGTCTACTTTGAAGAGAAAAGAATGTCTTTGTAGCCTCTGCTTTACATACATGGTAAGGCAAATATTTGGATTTACTGTGTCCCCATTTTTGTTGTTGTTGTTTAAGAGACAGTAATTTCAGAATTAGGAAATATGTCAAAATATGAATGGAACTTACAAGTACATCTTGGCAGAGGTAGCCAGCCTGTACTGGTACATATTGCCGTATTTACATGGCTTGCAGGATGAAACCTATTTTTACAGTGATATGTGATTTCATCTCCCGTTCTGTATCGGATGGCTTCAGATGTGTAGTAACCATTTGGAATATGAGGAGAAGTACATGTGACTTCTGGGGAAAAAAAAGGACATGTGGATAACGTAGCCATTAAATATACCCATTAAAATAATCAAGTACATAAAAATAAAGGCAGTGGATGTTATTTTTTGTCCCTATCCCAGCACAAAAGGGGATTAAAATGAGTATAGTCTCATATCCTTCCCACCATATCACTCATGTCCTACCACTGTAAGTCTCATATGATATATCGGTGCACCCTGGACTATTGAATCCTCTTTCTCCAAAGCCATTGCATACATCATGATATCCCAAAAGTGGCAATAAATTCATGACATATCACTTCAACTATTCTTTCCAATGATTCTTCAACTTCCTTGGCATCTGTGGTTCTCATCGAAGTCTCTTCCTTCCAGACACTTGGTAGGATTGCATATCCCATTTGAAGTAGACATGGCCCCATGATTTGCATAAGACAATGAAATGAATGTAAAGTAACATGTTTCCCTTCAGGGAGGAAGTTATAAAAGCCATTTTGTGATTTTTTATGTTCTCTTCTCCCATAGCTGCAGTGATTAAGGAAAGCCATGGAAAGATGATGTCTCTAACCCTTGATTCTTACAGTTAATATAATGAACAGAGTCCCTTCAGACCTACATTGGAAGTGAGCATAAGCAGGAAATAAACTTTAACTTATGTCAAAGCAAAATTGAATTCAGATTCCGAGGTCTTACCTTGAAGTAGGTAACTTCATTGAAACCTAGAACGATGATTTATTCTAACGTTCATTGACACTTGGAATGATGATTTATTCTAATGTTTATACAGGACAAGGGGACTGATACAAGGTAAGTGGTTTATAAGTTATATTTTGATGACTGGATGGATAATTTAACTATCTAAATATTTAAGTGGGGCTCTGGAAGTAAAACATATGGCAGAAGTTAACGTCAGAGGACTTGTGCACCCACGTTCTTTGTGTAAGAACTGTGAATGCCATGAAGACAAACAGCTGAATTCTACACATCATCAGCTGAATATGGATCTAATGTGAGTGATCACTGTTCTGTGTTCATAACCTCTTTGTAAAATATTTTCTTAATAATGTCTGAAAGTGAAGGTCATTCAATTGTAGGAGGATATATTTTCCAAGGAGCTCTTGAGTTTGTGGACTCAACTAATTTTTTTTTTTTTTGTTGGAGGGAGTGCCTGTCTGGATCAGTCAGTAGAGCATGTGACACTTGATCTCAGGGTTGTGAGTTCAAGCCCCATGTTGGGTATAGAGCTTACTTAAAATTAAAAAAAGTCAACCAAATTTTTTTTGTATTTTTTATTATGTTATGTTAATCACCATACATTACATCATTAGTTTTTGATGTAGTGTTCCATGATGCATTGTTTGCGTATAACACCCCAGTGCTCCATTCAGTATGTGCCCTCTTTAATACCCATCACCAGGCTAACCCATCCCCCACTTCCCTCTAGAACCTTCAGTTTTTTTTCTCAGAGTCCATAATCTCTCATGGTTCATTTCCCCCTCCGATCCCCCCCCCTTCACTTTTCCCTTCCTGCTATCTTCCTTTTTTTTTTTTTTAACATATAACTCAACCAAATTTTTTTTAAAAAGAATAAAATCAACTCAAAAGCTAACTCTAGTTATTATAAAAGAGGATCATTAAACAAAGTTTATACATGTAATTATGAATCATATGATTAAAAGTTCAGAGTTCAACTCTTCTCACCATTTCCCACCACCCTGGCCCACAGTATGACAATATCTGTAAAACTCACCCTTTTAGAAAGGCACTTGACCTCTGATTTCATGTATGATAGCACTTGTTACTTGTTTCACTCACTGCTGCAGCCCTCAACAGAAGTTGACTCACTCTTTTCCATAAATGTTTGCAAATATCTCAACACAGTTGTTACCATGTTATAGCTGTATCCTCTTGCTATTCTTCTCAGGATATGATTTCTTAAACTCAACTATCTACATTCTCTCTTTTAGGTCACAATAGTTTGAAACCATCTCTTTTAAAATGAGGTGGGCTAAGTAGAACACAATGTTCCAGACTTTTGGTGGGCACCTAACACAGGTGAGATGGATTCTAGCTCTGTACAACATCCTATTCTGAAGCCTAAAAGAGTTTTTGTTTTTTTCCCAGCATCATCATCACTGTTGATTCATATTAGGTCTGTGGTTAATGAAATCTCCAGTTATTTCCACTTAATTCCATTGTCAATGGAGGGTTTCCTCATCTGGTATTAATATAATTTACTTTTTATAGCTAAATGCTAAGCTTTACAAGAGCAATCTGGGAAGTGTATATACCTGGGAATTAGGAAGCCTATTACAACCCTGGCTCTGCTCTAGACTTGCTTTTTGACCACAGACTAACTGTTTAATGAGCTATTGAACGCTTTTGGTCCTTTTATGTCTATCTTCAGAATGAGAGAATTATACTAATTGCTCTCAAAATGGACCTTGCACACAAAATGTTAAGTATATTGTCTTTATAATAGTTGATCCCTGTAAACATTAATACTCCATTGTGAGAAAAAATAAACTGCTTAACTCTAAGGAGTATATGAATGAAAACAATTTATAAAATATACAGCAAAATGTATAGAAAAGAAATATAATGTTACCTCTACATGAAGGACTTGGAGTCCATCCAGATTTAGTACATACAGCATCTCCTCTATCACTGTATTCATAACCCTTGTTACATTTATATTGAAGTCGTTCATTTTCTTTGTAAATTTTCTTCTGAGATGTAGACCGTCCATTTACGATTTCTGGCTCTTGGCAGGAAATTTCTAAATATAAGGGATTAAATTCCAAAATGTTTGTTATATATTAAAGGGCCTTGTCTAAGACATAGTTATATTAAAGACACAAATTCTGTTTCCATTAGGTAAATCAGTCAACCAAGCAAAAGTTCTAACACCTTTGAAAAGTAACTGATTGGTTTTTGCAGCATCACTATCCATTCAAATTTTCTAAAAAAACAAAAGCAAAAACTGTCCATCATCTTTGACCCCATCTTCTCTCAAACATTTCCCCCTGGGATTACAGCAACAATAACTAATTTCCCAAATCCAATTCTCCCATCTTTCTAATCTGTTTTTCTGTTTGTAACTTAATGGCCTTTTTTCTTGTCCCTTCATTGCTCCATTTAAAATCCCCCATTGATTCCCAATTCAGTCTGAGTAAAAGCCAAACTCTTCAGCACGACATGCAGCACCTTAGAACTTTGTGCTGGCCTATCTTCAATCTGTCACTGACTTACCCCTACTTGCATCCTACACAAGGGCCCCCAAGCACATGAGAACAGGGGAGCCTCATATTCATGGAAGTGGCCTTGTATTTGTATTCCCTTCCATATGTTTCTGTGACTAGTATGCTTTCCCCCTCCTCAACTTCATTTGAAACATATGCATTAGTTATTCCAGGAACATTTCACTAACCACAGAAATTTAGTTTTAAGAAGGAAACCCCCTCTGTGAACCTCTAGAACATACAGTATTTGCTGTGTTGAATATAAATATGTTTACCATTACTGACTTGGGGAACTAGTTTTGTTAGAAAGAGTTTTTAAGCAGAGGAATGCTTTTCTCTGCATCTCACTGTTGGATAGACTAGACTAGGAAAGTGAAAATAATCAAGAGATTTTAGGTATGTTAAAAAATAAATAAGGCAGAAATTTCTGCTGCACAAGTACTGGTAATATGAAGTATGGCACTTTTAAATAAATTGACCATAATGTTTCATTACAAAAGCCCCAATCATCAGACTGGTCACAGCAGTATTATAACTAAAGAAATCTTAACTTACAATTTACTATAGAACTTTTTTTAAAGGCAAAAATTTATTTAGTGGATGCAGTTCAGTTCCACATACTTATCTAAACTCACTGTGTATATATAAAACAGGACCCTTTTCTAAAAGTATTATTCAAGCACAGAAGGTCCTCATGATTCATCAGTGGAAATAAACAATGAATTATTCACTTTTTAAATTAAAAGAAAGCCTATTCTACAGGCCAATATTAAAACTTGCAGCAAAAATGCTTACTTGTCTATTTGAGCCATGAAAACCAATCATAATTTAATTATGGTTAAGACCATGGACTTTGGTTTCAGATGATCGAGGTTTGAATCTTAACTCTACCATCTATGCCATGATAGCCTTGGGCATGAGATTTAACTTTTTTGCACCACAGTTTCCTTTACAATAAAATAGAGCATAAGTAACACATTTTGAAGGTAAAATGGAATGACACATGTGAAGAACTTGGATCAATTGCTGGCAAATAGTAAGTGTTCAGTAAATGTTAGTTATTAGTATTATTCATATTCTTTAGGATGCACAACATTTGAAAATGCATATTTTCATGAGAAAAACCAAAATCATTCAATCACATGAATGGTAAGTTTATCTTACCCACACATTTCGGTGTTTCTCCACTCCAAACACCATTTGTTGAGCAATGGATTTCTGCAGGCCCATCCAGCTTGAAGCCTGAATTACACTGAAATCGTACTACTTGTCCAAAAGTATGGTCTTGGTCCAGTTCCAACGCAGTACTGGTAAGTCTCCCATTCTCTGGTTCTGTCACTGGTAAACACTTAACAACTGAAAAAATAAATATGACTTTTCCTAATAGAATTTGACAACTTTATTATGAAAAGTATGTATATATTCACATATATGGATAAAATCATCAGCAAAGTAAGATTGGGGGAAATTACTTAATTTTTTTAAAGAAGTATTTGATAAAACTGTTGGATACCAAGACTAGTAAGTTAAAAAAAAAACAACAATAAGCTTATCTCTCATTCTTTTCTATGAGAATGGACAAAGAAAATTACTTCTTTGAATGACAGTTTACATTGTTTTAGTAACAAACAAGTGGTTCTTAAATAACTGAAAAATATAAAGCTTGGGATAATTAAATAAAAATTTTCATTTAAGCCCTAGAATAATATAACGCTGTATTCCTAAAAGGTATAAAAGCAAACTTTCTGATTCTATTTACTTCAATAGACAAATTGTCCTTAATTTTCCTTCTTTTTCCATGTTGGTGCTCAAAATAATTTAAGTACTCCTTTTGATTTTACTTAATATTTTCCCAATATCTCTTAGGTTATGCCATTTTAACTTTATTTTATAGTAGAATCATCCAGGATAGAATTAAAATGGAAGTTCTATGGCTTTCTCCCTGCCCTATTACCCAAGCGATACGGGTTTAGTAGGTTTTTAGTAACCAAAATTTTCAGCGTTAAATAAACACTTTAGGTGATTCCAGAGTAGATGTTTCTTAAAGCATTTAGACCTTCACCCCCCATTTCCATAGATGAAAGCTCTCCTCCTCCCCCCTTCTTCTCCTCCTTCCCCCACTTCCTTGCTCTTCCTCCTTCCTCCCTCTCTCCCTTCTTCTGCCCCTCCTCTTTTCCTCTCCCCCTCTACTTATTCCTCACCATGGAATTAAGACTATTCTGACTCATTTCTCTTATTTCTATGATGACTAGAGATTGGGATTATTAACTCAAAATTTGGAAATGGGATCTACGTTTTCTTATTCTTATGCTTTGCTTTATGGATCAGTAAGAAAAAGCAGAGCTCTCCCTTACTTCCTGTCTCTTTTCAGTAGGACTAAGACCACAGGAAAATCTCCCTTGCCACACAAGAGGGGAGGAATGTCTAAATCATGTTCTTCACTTCAGCTGTTACCAGAGATCCTTGCATTTGGGTGGTTATTGGGTGAGAATATCTTCATGAATAAAGCTGAAATTCTGATGCTTGTTTTTTCTAGTGTTTAGAATCCAAAAGGAAAGGAAAATAGGTTTTAGATTTCCTAATCTCTAATACTTTGAATATTAGGTCAGATGAGTCTATATTCATATTTGGTTAATGAAACACAAAATAATGTAGTAATAAAAAGCTTAGATATCCATTCTGTACTATATTAGAAGCTACAAAAATACTTTAAGTAAAAAATATTTAATTACAAATTTTATGGATATTTTAATGTAAGACATCTCAAAAACTCTTAGATATTTTAAATATTTGAATATATTGGTAAATCAATTTTACATATACCTTCACAAAGAGGAACATCATTGGTCCATCCATCTGGTTCACACTCACGGAAATTAATCCTACCTAGCAACTGATACCTGAAAACCAAAAATAACAGAGTGGTGAGCTAATGTGTATTTATATGCAATTTTGATACCATTCTGAATGTCCAGAAACTCCATTTCAGAGAAAATTAACAGCATATGCATTTCCTGTCTTCCTTTCTCCTTCCCTTCCTCCCTCCCTCCCTCCCTCCCTCCTTTCCATCTTCCCTCTCTCCCTCCCCTCCTCTTTCTTTTCCTTTTCTTTCTTTTCTCTTTCTTTTTCTTAAATTTCTTTCTCTCTTTCTTAAATTTCTTTTCTTTCTTTCTTAAGCTTCTTTCTTACTTAAGAAAGGCCCTCAAGTCCTCAGGCACATGGACTTGGAATAGTCATAATCTTTGGTTCACAACACGAATTCATTGTGATTTTGTACTTAATATACTTTTATCTTTTCATTGAGTCAGTCAGTTAGTTACACTTAACAATGTTATAACCTCTTTGAACCCAAACCAAAATCCAAAAACATGGTAGTAATCAAGAGCTAACAATATGTTACCTTTCCTCCAGTCTTGTTCCATACTCCTACCCTCCACAATTATGATATTTTTGGAACATTTTGGACTTTTTACATAATCAAGGATAGCACTAGTCCAAATTTCTTAGCATGTGGTTTATTTTAAATTTTTAAAATTATTTTTAATTAATTAATTTTTCCAGAGTGTAGTCATTGAGTCAGGTCTGCATATATAACCCATTCAATGTCAAATATATCTAACTGTGGTAACCCATTAAGCCCATCCTTAAAATCTAAAATGCTCTACTTGAATGGGAGTTCCTTGGGGCAGATGTAAAATGTGCAATCATTATCCGAGGCTTTAGATCAAGGCAAAGCATCCTTCTTAATATTACAGTGAACAGCTAGAGGTAAAAAGCTTTTTCTCAAAAACAAAATAATGGGCAGCATTTTGATAACCACAAGAGAGATAATTTTGAGAACAGAACTTTTATAAACTTCTAAATAATTCTACCTAGACAAATATTTCCTTCATCTGCAAATAAGGATTATTTCACCTATTATACAAGAAAAGAAAAACTTATTGATTTGTTCTTAATTCTCTAAAAGAAGAAAACATTTCAATTGATTCAATGAGAGTCACAAAACTTGAAGTTAAACATTTACTCTATGTCTCTGTCATATAAAGGAACAAAATAATTGGCTATTAAAATTCCTTCTCTGTCTCCTCTATTTGTACCCCCTTCCACCATAGAAAGTAGATTTCCTGGTTAACATTTTCCATCTACACCAGACACCCACCCGTTCCCCCAAAGCTCTTTCAGGAATTCTGCAAAATGCTACACAAAACTGCCTAAGGCCCATATATATAAGGAAAGGGGGAAGAAAAAGAGATTGTCCAAATGTTGGTGGTTGGGGAAAAGTAACAGCATGTTTCCGCAACCCCAGCCAGGCAAAATACCAGAAAAACTTTTTGCAGAATGATTCGTTAAAACTACCTATCTATAGGATACTGAAACTGGATATGCATATTGAATATCCTGATAAGTAGCTAGTATTCAGCTAAATTGGTATTCAGAAGAGAAAAGGTAGATAGGGACAAGGGATCAAAAGAGGGTCAGTTGACTGGCAGAACCATAGGCATAGTAAACCCATTCTACACTGATTCCACAACTGGGTCAAAAGAGTTACATTCCTTCAGATAGGTAAAATAATCCCTCAAAAAATTTAAAAATAGCATAAAATATTGATGATTGCTTATTTTGCAAGGTCCAAGGACTTTTAATTCACTGATGAATATCTAGTCCTTGTTGGAGGCCCATGCTGAATGGTGGAGATAGTTACTCTTATAGAGTCTCTAGCAGAGGTTGCCCATAATTTATACAAGCAGAAGGAAGCAAAGATGAATTAAGCAGAGGCAGAGTCAGAGGTGAAGTATGTGGCAAATTTCTTTACCAAATTATAAATATTTTTTATTACTGAGATTTAGGGAATCTAGTAGAAGGAGCCTATGGGTTTTGATTCCCCCCCCCCTTTTTTTGAAGATTTTATTTATTTATTTACCAGAGAGAGAGAGTGTGTGAGAGCACAAGCAGAGGGTGCAGCAGGCAGAGGGGAAGCAGGCTCCTTGCTGAGCAGGGAGCCTGATGTGGAACTCAATCCCAGGACCCTGGGATCATAACCTGAGCCGAAGGCAGATGTTTAACTGACTGAGCCACCCAGATGTCCCGAGTTTTGATCCCTTTTGCCAGGTCAAATGTGGAACCTACAGGGGCCAGACTAGCCTGGATTGAAAGAGACATTTCAGAGGTGAGGAATGAGGCGGTTGAAAAGTGTAGGCCCAGATGGTCTTCATCTATTTGGTCATGTGTAATTAAAGTCAGAAGTAATGATTGAAAGTTGGGCTAAAAATGTCTTTGAAATATCTCCCTCAGGTAGTGGCCAAAGAGAGCCTAAATTCATAAGAACTAAGACTTATTGGATGTCAATATCTTAGGAACTCTTCAAAGGGCTTCAGTGTGTATCTTATTTATTTCTTCCACCAATCCTATGATGCACCTGCTGTGTTTCTATTTCTAGAATTGAGGAAATGGGAGTTAAGAGTCATTAAAATGATAATACAGTTACTGAGTTGTGGAGTTTTGGGATGCAGGCTTATTCCAAAGCCTAAGCTTTAAAATACTATATTTTTTGCTTCAAATCAAGAAATAAATGAGAAGAGAATAATAAGAATCAATTTGTAATTTCTTATTTTAAAAAGATTATTTATTTATTTGACAGAGAGAGAGAGTGAGAGAGTGGGTGGGCAGGGAGAAGAGAGGGAAGGAGAAGCCGACTCCCCACTGAGCAGGGAGACTGACTTGGGGCTCCATCCCAGGACCCTGGGATCATGACCTGAGCTGAAGGCAGACACTTTATTAACTGACTAAGCCACCCAGGAGCCCCCAATTTATAATTTCTTGATCCTATTTATATTTATGTAGCATAAAATTGTAATGATATTGGTTTTCTCATGTATGAAACTTTCTTCAAAACAATTTTTTGAGCTGGCTGGGAATAACAGAAATAAAGAACACTGAAGAGGTATCATAGTGTTAAGATTAGCCATGGAAATCCAGTAGGTGGTTAGAGAACAAAAAGTCAATCACGATGAACATAGTAGCATTTTTGGTTCATGTGATAAGAATAATTTGCAGACCACGGAAACTTAAAGAATGGTAGTTACTATTATGTCAGTGTAAAATATTTGCTTCTCCTAAATTTTATAAGCTTTTATCAAAGGAGGTGCCATGTAATCTGATTCTGTTAACATTCCCACTGTCCCTGACATATTGAACTCCCATGTATTCTGCACATAATAGAATGTAGTCAGGACTTGTTGGAATAAACCCTTATTTATATGTATACTATTTTTCAGCCCTCCTATAACTACACTCTACCAGAGTAATTATAATCATTTTAATTTTTCAATGTTAGGGAGATAATTTGTTATCCAAATATAATCATTTCCATTATAGTTTAATTTTTCAGACTACTTGTATGGTACTTATAAGCGCTGTGAATTGTGCAAGACTGTTGAATCACAGATCTGTACCTCTGAAACAAATAATACATTATATGTTAAAAAAAAAAGAAGAAGATAGCAGGAGGGGAAGAATGAAGGGGGGAAATCAGAGGGGGAGACGAACCATGAAAGACTATGGACTCTGAAAAACAAACTGAGGGTTCTAGAGGGGAGAGGGGTGGGAGGATGGGTTAGCCTGGTGATGGGTATTAAAGAGGGCACGTTCTGCCTGGAGCACTGGGTGTTATGCACAAACAATGAATCGTGGAACACTACATCAAAAACTAATGATGTAATGTATGGTGATTAACATAACATAATAATAAAAAAAAGAAAGCAAGTTGAAAAAAATGCTCATAGAAAAATACTAATTAGTAAAGTTCCTATTTACTACCTAAATTATAACTGCCCCAACTATAAACCTCTTTTAATATTAACTACATACCCCTCATGACATGTGTAAACAACCTTTGCACCATATACAAACTCATTTCCTCTTTCAAGATGAAAAGAACCAAAAGGAGTATCTCCAGGATGTCCACAGGGCCTTTCTAAAATGAAAAAAATAATGATATTATTATGTAGCACAGGGAAACACATTTTATGTAGGAGTTCAAGGAAAATGACATTTGATATTAAATCAGAGGACATAATTGAAGATGTGCAAAAGTGAAAAATGTCAATTATCATTTTAAAATTAAACTTATCTGAATGGTTGGGTTTTTTTTATTTTAAGAAGATTACAACACCTTATGATTTTGTATTTAAATGACAGTTATGATATAATTCAGCTAATATTGCTATAATATCAAATATTAAGTATTTTAATAATTAAGTTTTCATAAATTTCACAAATATATGAATTATTTACCCCGACATATCCTCAATGGATTAAGAGACTCCCATTCTCCATTCTTGCATTCCATTATAATAGCTCCAAGAGTTCTAAATCCAGGTCGGCATTTATATGTAGCCCGCATGCCCTCTGGATATGTTTGTTCAGGCCAGGCACCAAACAAAACTTCAGTCTCTTTTCTTGGAGGAGGTCCTTTGCAATCTATAAACAATAAGAACAAAGTAAGTGCTTGAAGTGCTTATTTAAATTTACAATATGTCTAGGTTATTTTTGCTTTTAAAAATACCTGTGCTGTTACAGGTCCATCCAAAAGTATGTCTTAACATATATAAAATATATTTTTTACCTTACAGAAATTGAATCAACATAAATTTGTAAAAATAGCTTTCCATAGAAATAGTTTTCCTTTACTATATATATTTTTTAACATGTAATGTATTATTTGTTTCAGAGGTACAGGTCTGTGATTCATCAGTATTACACAATTCAGAGCACTCACCATAGCACCTACCCTCCCTCCTTTACTGTATTTTTTAATCAAAATAATGATTCTCTTTATTACTTTATCACTACATTAGACATAAAAATAAATTGAGAAGCTGCAAGTGCATGCCACTTCATGAAGATTATGGAATAATAGAGACAGCCACTGTAGAAAGCTAAAAGTGACTTATCCTTTGGGAATGCAAGTACAGCACACACAAAAGTCATCAAAGGTGAGGTTATTGATAATATCTGCCAGCTGGAATTTATGTACAAATGGAAAGTTTTAAAGTGAACATAAGGGAACATTTGCTATCTCTGACCTCTTAGGCAGGGAGTATGGGGGATATATTATATACATTATTCTTAACTGCTGTGCCGCATTCTACTATTCATTCATTGATTTGGAAAATACTGGGCACTAATCTAAGTGCTGAAGAAAAAACAATAAATTTTAAAAGAGACAAAGTACCTGTTCTCAAGTATTTCCATTCTACTAGGGAAGTTAGTTATTAAATAAGTAATTAAATAGATGTATCATATGCATTACAGGTAGATAAATTCTATTTAGAAAAATAAAGCATGCCAAGATGATACAAACTTGAAAGGGAACATTCCAAATACGATGGAATAGGATGGAACAGAACAACATTCCTGCTGCAAATTGGAAAAACAACAAACTCCTGTGTGTGCGCGTGCGCGCGTGTGCGTGTTGAAAGGAACTGGAAACTGTGAGAAGAAAAAGGATTAAATGAATTAAACCAAAGTGGGAAGGGCCTGTTTTATGCAAACATATAGTTTTTGGACATTTCTTATCTGGTCGTGTTTGCCAACTCTGGGTATGGATTGAAGATCAGGCTTTGCCTGAATGGAGGATTGTGATGAGGAAAAGAAAAATGAGACAAACTTTTGGAGGCACGTCTAACATGAAAAATTCTGAGTCCCTGCAGAATGTGTGCTCTGCTGGAGCCTAAGTAATTTCTTTTCTTTTCTTTTTAAAGCAGTTTTTTTTTTTTTAAAGATTTTATTTATTTAATTGACACAGAGAGAGAGACAGCATGAGAGGGAACGCAAGCAGGGGGAGTGGCAGAGGGAGAAGCAGGCTTCCAGCTGAGCAGGGAGCCTGATGCGGGGCTCGATCCCAGGACCCCAAGATCATGACCGGAGCCGAGGGCAGTCGCTTAACCAACTGAGCCACCCAGGTGCCCCGGAGCCTAAGTAATTTCTTAAGGGTGGAGTGAAAGTTCCTATAGTCTCATAGAAAAAGTTCCAATAAGAAAAGGATCTTGTTTCAAATATACAACTGTATCCTCACCAAGACAGCTGACATATTTGAGTCACTCAGGGTAAGATTTGAGAGCAGAGGTCAAAACATCAGAAAAGCAGGATAAATCTCTCAGAGTGTTCTGGGATGGAGGAAGAAGAGACCAACCAGGTACTTGATAAAAAGCCAAGAAGGTATTTACCTGGAGACTTTTGAAACCAGAAGTGGACTGACTCAAAATAGAAGTGCAACTCAGACGCATCTGAGTTCACTTCTTGATTAGATCAAGAATGAGCAAACACTTGTCAATGGGAGGTAAATAATATAAACATTATTATTACATTTATTTCATGTGAAATGTATGGCTTTGGATAAAAAATTAAAAGACACATAAAGAAGCAAAAAATGTGATCAAGAAATGAAGCAAAAATAAATGGCTCACAGAAGTAGACAGTCAGATCCAGATGTCAGAATTAGTGTCAAGTTTCTTTAAGATGGCTGCTTTAAGTATGCTAAAGGAAATACAGGAAAATAATAGATAATGTGAGTAAAAAGACAAAGATATTTAAAAGAAAACTGATGCTATAAAAATAATCATGTGTTATACTAAAATTACAAAATAAATATCCAAAATAAGGATGCATTGGATGGTCTTAAGAGCCAATGGAGATAGCAGAAGACAAATCTGAAGAAGTTTGATGTAGAAATATCCAAGTTGAATATAGAAAAACTGTAGAAAACACCAATAACAAATAAAAGAGAGTACAAGAAATGTATGGAGCAGAATCAAGTGATATGTGTATGTCTAAATAAAATTCCAAAACTAGAGAAGAGGAAAGACAGAAATACTTGAAGAAAGAATAGCTCAAAGGTTTCCAGAATTGATGAAAAAAAATCAACTCTCAGATTCAAAAGCTCAAAAAACAAAACAAAACAAGAAAAACAAAAAACAAAAAAACCACAACAAACCAAAAGGGTAAATACAAAGAAAAACCATACTGAGGCTTTGCTGAAAATCAAAGATAAAAGCAAAATCTTAAAAGCAGACAGAGAAAAGAACACACATTTCTTTTAGGAGAACAATAAAAATAACAGTATGTTTGTAACAGTAACAACTGAGGCATGAAAACAATGTGCCGGCATTTCTAAAGTGCTGAAAAATAAATGGCAACAGAGAACTCTGAACCCAGGGAAAACGTACTGCAAAATGAAGGAGAATACAAATACATTCTCAAAAAATCCAAAAGCAGAGAGAATTCAACAATAGCAGACTGACACTATGAAAAACCCCACTAAAGCTCTCTAGGCTGAAGGAAAATGATTCCGTATATAAACAAGAAAGGATAATATTAAATGAACAGAACTGAAGAAAATAAATATATGGGTTAATAAAAAGACTACTGAAAAATAATAAATAACGTGCTACGTATATTTTAGCAAAATTTTAAAAAGACTTTATTTAAAATCAGTAACAATGTCTTATAGTGTTTGCAAAAAATTCAGAAGTATAATATGTAAAAATAATAACAAAAATGTCAAGAGATAATAAATGAAATTAAACCGTTTTAATGTTTACATAGTTTAGAATGTAGTGAAAGTATTGATTAAGGGTAGACTGTAATAGTTTGAGTATGCTTATTGTAAAACAATATTAGGAGATATATAACTAATAGAAATGAGATAGTGAGGTAGTAAAGAATATTTGATTAATATTTTGAAAAGTCGGGAAAGGAGGAATAGAAGGACAAAGAAGAGATGACACAAAAAATAAATAGCAATATGTTAGACTTGAGCTTAACTGTATCAGTAATTACAATAAATGTAAATGGATTCACCACTCCAATTAAAGTATAAACACTGACTGGAGAAAAACAGAAAATAAAATTGAAGTATACTTTTGATTACTTTTGATAAAATGGGACCCAAGATTACTTTTGATAAAATGGGACCCAAGTGCCTGGATGGCTCAGTTGGTTAAGCGTCTGACTCTTGGATTCAGCTCAAGACCTGATCTCATGGCTCCTGGATTGAGTTCCCTGCTGGGCTCCTTGCTCAGCAGGAGTCTGCTTAGATATTCTCTCCCTCTGCCCCTTCCCCCACTTGGGTTCTCTCTCTCAAATAAATAAATAAATCTTTAAAAAATGGGACAGATAAGTTGAAAGTAAATGATGAAAACTAATACACTATGAAAATATTAGCCAAAAAAGATAGGGTTAATATGTTAATATCAGGCAAATAATAATTTAAGGCAGAAAGTATTGCTAGATAAAAGAGGGCCATTTCACAATAATAAAAGAACTACTTGAACAGAAAGATGTAATAATTCCAAATGTGCATGAACATTTAGAATGACTGCTGGAGTTGGCTCATACCAACTCACAGGAGATAATTATAAACATCTCTTCCCAATACAGTATTCAGTGGTGTCACATTGGTAACTTAAAATTGACCATATCATGAGTATTTACACCATGGGTATTGGCAAAATCTACAAACCAAGACTCTTTCTTTTCCTTTTTTTTAAAAATAGTTGATTGTTATACATTTGCCAGCATACCACTGTCCATAAACCTAATAGTATGTCTCAAGATATAACAGAAGTAAAAGAAGTAAACAAATCCATCCTCATAGCTTGAGATTTAAATACACTTCTCCAAGCATTTGATAGAAAAGCAGATAGACAAATAAGGATATAGGATATATGAACATTATTTTTTTTAAGAGAGAGAGAGAGAAGGAGGGATAGCGAGGGGAGGGAGGAGGAGAGAGGGAGAAAGAATCCTAAGCAAGAATCTTAAGGAAGCTGCACACTCAGCATGGAACCCGACATGGAGCTCGATCTCATCACCCTGAGATCATGACCTGAGCTGAAATCAAGAGTCAAATGCTTAACCAACTAAGCCACCCAGGCACCCCAAATATATGAACATTATTAACAAAATCAACATTTTTTATTGTCATAGAATGCAACCTTCAGCAGCTGAAGCTACAGATTCATTCCAAGTACCCACGGAATAGTCACCAAAATAGACTGTAAGCAAGGCTCAACAAATTTCAAAAGATTGAAAATCACTGTAAGTACACACCTTGACCGCTAGACATTGTTAAGAAAAAATAACTGGAAAAATCTCAAAAGTTTTGAAGTTAAGTAACACTTCTAAATCACTCATGGGTTAAGAAGAAATCACAATACATATTAGAATACAACTTGAACTAAACAATAATGAAAATATGCTATATATCAAAATTTGTGGGATGATACTGAAGCAGAATTCCTAAACTTTACGTCTGGGAGCCCTGTCCACAAAAGCCCTGCACTGTGACTTCAAGTAGTGCAGGAAGGTATCTGGCTCTGGAGAAATTTTCAGCTCTTCTCCTTGGTGGGTAGACCCAGCATGATTCAGGAGGCAGGATCTTGCTATCAAGAGATTTTTAAAAACCTCAAGAGTCCTGG